CAAATACCACTGGCAATGTAACATGAAATACCGATATGTTTAGTGTGAGCCATTCTGTTGATAGAACAAATTTCACAACTTCATTAATACTATGTCAAATAAAAATATTCAGTGCATATAATTAAACCTATGTTAGTCACACTGTATGTGTATTGTCATTAATAGGATGCTTACAATTAGATTTCTTTATGTATCTTTATATGCATCATTTGTTATTTAAGAAGAACAACTCACCATGTGTATCACCAAGTATTTCCCTTGTTTCAACAGAAAGCAAAATAGATTTTACTGTGTAGCCAATATTTAATACAGTAAATATTTAGAAAGTACGTAATAAAAAACCCAACTTATGATCAAGAATAGTTTGATTTAGAATTGAAAGTGCAAACGATAGTGCACATGTACTGGCTTACATTTTGTGCATTTATGTAAAATAGAAAATAAACATTCTTTTTTATTCTAGTGCACCTATTTTGATGAAGAAAAATGAGGGCGAAATAATTTTGCCTTATAAATCTTCAGTATTACCCATGCTAAATAAGGCATTAATATAAACAGAGATTTTTTCAAAAAGATTGTAAAATATTGGATCGGTGAATAGAGACTTGTATCAACAGATTAAGCAACCACTCGTAGATATTAATGATATTAGACGTTAGAAATAAACAATAATATTATAATATAATAATCATATTGTTATTTTGGTTAAAGGTCCATGATTTATTATCATATCAGTAGTTTCAAGGGGCAAAACTGAATAAACAAAACGTTTGTTTGTAATTCGTTGATGTCATATCTTATGAACAAAACAGTTACAGTTTGTAGCTACACACAACATTTGAATCTTATATTGGTTATTCTTCTGATCATATTTACATCTTACTTCATCTAGTAGTTCATACTACACTATGAGCCATGAAGTCCTGCTATTTGAAATTATCATCAAAAAATATTATCGAACTACAATATCATGCAGAATGAAATCTTTAAACTAATAGATAAAACGCGCTTATTATTTCGAGATGGTGGAGAAGATTTGTAGCTCAGGTGAATGATTTTGATGGAGTTTTGTTCTCTGAGCTGATTATGTCGTTCAAAAGAACGATGTAAGTTGCAAGACCAAACCATCCAGCTCAGAGAACAAAACTCCATCAAAGTTTATTATTTCAGATTACATAACTTTACTATGAATGGTTATCTATAACATTAATTGCATTTTTATTTATTTTTGAATAGATCAGGCTGAATATTTCACCTTCGTAATATCTAGAATTAAATTTTATTATTCATTTCATGTGTATAAGGTCTACTTAATTGTTTAACACTCGTTTAACACTTGTTAGTACTCATGATTCTATCAAATGTCAAGAGAGTTCACTAATAAATATAATTTTCGTATTGATACCTATAAATAGTTCGCTGGAAAACTCTTCCCAATTGACATTAATAAATCATTTATAAAAATATTGAATGTAAGCTACATAATTACATAGGATTACACGGTAATGCCCGTCGACCGATTTAAATCAGAAGTTAGTGTTCATCATGTATCACGTACATTTTAAATTTAATTAATCCGATTAACTTTGAAAATATGTTGGCTTTGAAGCGATCTATGATCTCCAATAAAGGGTTAGTCTTGAAATGAGAAGAATTAGAAACTTCGTCAAAAATGTTTATTATTTAGGTCGTTATCAGTGTTAACCAGTTGATTAGCCACATGAGTAAAAATTAAGTAAATATTTTGTTTGTATTTGTACACTATTCTAAATAACGGTTTACGAAAGTTCCAACAAACTCTCACTCATTAGAACGAGATAAAGTCACATGACTACTTTCTATTTCAGTGTGATATTTTGTTCAGTATAATATCCACTTTATTTCAGTATAATAGTCTGAGTAACATACTTCGTATCAACATAACGTGATGTTGGTCCATGTTTTAGTGTAGGATGCGTTTTGCAGTAGTTTTATGTGAAATATATTTTTATATTTACCCTATATTGGTTGTGATGTTCATTACCGAATCATCAAACTATTTGTGAACTTGACACATAAATCAAAGTATTTGGTTAAAGTTGTCGTGGTATTTTTCGAAGGGTGAATAAAATGTTCATCTGTCATTAGTTCAATCTCCTCCTTCATATAGTTCAAATCTCACTCTCCTGTTTCAAGTCTAACTTTCATAATCATAGCAATACTGTTAATAGCCAGTTATATTATTTATCCCATTTGATGAGAACAAATAAACATAGTAATTTAATTATCTCTGTAGTGATTCATTGAACATCACATATAAGTTTTCATTACGAAAGGTCTTATGAACTAAACTATAATTATCTTTCGATTGTTAAATAGTTTGTAACGTTACCTTTCTCTATTTCCACCATCAAGAAATCGATCAAGATATTTTCAAAGATTACTGTTTTTCAAATGATAAATATTAATGAACGTATTAATACTATTGACCTTTTTCTTAGATATTTAAGTCCTCTCTTATTCAAACTTGCCACCATATTTTTGAAACTGAATGGTTTTTCATTGTATATTCTATTTTTTTTGTTTTAATAGTTTATAAAAGTGTAGATCAATTTTTAAAGGGATACAATAGTTATTTTATGTTGAACTTATATATACTAAATATAAATATGAATACAACCTAATAAGATCACTGACCTACTTTTTAAAATCAAACTATCACTTCATTCAAATGGAGTGTAGGAATAAGAAAACGCTTGTTAGCACTGATTAATTCTTTTAAAACCTCTACACTAAATCCATCTGAATATCAACTAAATAATTTACATTGGTAGATAATCCTTAGTTGAGTTCTACAAAATGACCTCTATGATTAGAGTGATATTTTTTTTAGAAAAATGAACACTATAAATACGTGTGCACTGGTTGATAGTTTACCATCAGGAAATTAGTCCCTCTTTGAAATGACCATTTCATAATAAGTAATACAATTTTGTTATCGATTTTACTATTTAGTCACAGATAACTAACATAGTAAGACTCTAAACTTTCACAGATAAACTTACTTCCTGTTTATTGACAGCAAGATATACATAACATCTGATCTCCTTAAAAAACATCACATACATACGTGGAACATTTTTATGCTATAAAATGTGATATATATCTGGTAATCTAACAAATATATATGATATCAGATATTTCCTTTAGATAACAACGTGAATAGCTTTAATTTTCTCTAAATTTTTATCTGTAAACCAACTTGCCATCTATTGAAGAAAATCTACTGAGAACAGTGAACATTTTATCTTGTTACTAAGAAAAAAAAACGTAGAACTACACCATCGAGCTTAGAGAACGCGACTTCATCAACTGAATTCATATTAATTACAAATTTTCGTTATTAAAAAAATTATATTACATTTTACCTATGGAGGTTTTACTGATTGATATGCCTTGGTAAATTCAATGCGATTTTAGAATCTGACGGCTTGATCATACTATAAATTCTGTTTGTTTAAGAATGGTCAATTTGTGTAACTAGTGAATGAGGGTTCATTCAGATGTTTCTTAAAAAAAACCCGTCTACAATATCTCTTAAATGCATGTTTTAAAATGGATGTTTTTTCATGTATATTCTGGTTTTAATCTAATGCCATTTAGTGTAAATAATCTTTTAATTTGTTCAAAAAGGAATGTCATTGCATAAAATAAACTAATCGTTACCCATTTTATACATTCACATTCAATATTTGGTTATTGATATGACATCATTCACTTTCATTAAATTGAACAGAAAAAATAAGAAATAAAAGTTGGATAAAACGATTTCATAATGATTCATTAAGTCTTCATCAGTTGTTTATAACTGGTAATAGTTCGATATTAAAAAAACTTAAGAATGGTAGAGCAAGTACTCAAATAAAAAATTAGAGAACGAAAATAAACGCTGTAAATATACATGTGATATACAAAACTTCCAGAAACCCATTAGGATCATTTCAAGAGATTACAAAGTTGAAATTCATTGATTTTCCCATAAAATAATTAGTTAAACAACACTATGAATATTTTACACGAATACTTCAAATATAGTATTTACAACACTAAGAATAATGAGGAAGAGCCTTTATATAAAATAAAAATGCAGTAGCTGACAACCCGCTCAATTTCGTGGATTAGTTGAAGTTAGATATTAACACCGTTAGATGCCGGCCGACTCAGTGGTCTAGTGGTCAAGCATTTGAGCGCGAGACTGATAGGCCCTGGCTTCAAATCCCGCAATCACTACAAAATAACCTGAGGGTTCTGATGAAATATTGATGGATTATCACATATATTAAAAATAGGTTACATAATGCGTTCACTTTACTAATTTAGATGCGAATGTTTAGTCAATATATTTGTGTCATACTAAATCAATCAGTTAAATAATCTGAAATACCTCACTAGTTTTTCAATTGAATACATTGTACAGTAGATTATAAAGTTCCCCACGCTAGATAGTTTAACTTCAGAACTTTTATTGTTACACTGGTCATAGTAATCAGGGACTACTTTATCTTGAAAGGAGTGCTCCATTTATTTAGCTATTGTCATATCAGATCGTTCTGATGATCTTATTTGTGATGGTTGTCTCCACAGGTTCTTGCACTTGTGTTGGGTATGAATTTCAGTTGACCTCTAATCCTCTGATTATGTGCTAGCAGGATGAACGTATGCCGATATATCTGCGGATTGCCATCAGATCTGAATTTCATACTTCTAGCACTTTGCAAAGATTTTAGATCTTCCTTAATAATTCTCTAGTCAAACTCCTGTCGATGATTGTTTTAATGTATCGGTTTTAGTAATATTACGTAATGTTGATTTATTACTAATCCATGTTCATGTAGATGTAGGTGGTCTCCATGATCGTTCAATTGGTTCTTTAACGAAATATTTTATTTCGATAGCTATTAATCTTACCACTGACTTTTTATCCACTTTACCCTCCCACCTCATTTTTATTTTTGTTAAAGATAATTATGGCAACTATGTTGCATTCGATGAAAACGGTGATGGCTATGGACAATATTCAATATATAATTATGCGCGCGATCCATACACTGGTCAGTATCACTATCGTTTGGTCGGTGATTTTCAAGGTGGCAAACTTACAATGCGTGCACGACCTATATGGCCGGGTGGGGAATCAAAAAATTTTCCAGTTAGCCAATGTTCAGAAGAATGTGGGTAAGTCGAAGGTATTTTATTTTTTGGATGCATCAATTAGTAAGTTAATCATTTAAACAGCCTTTTTACTGTTTAGATAAGCGTTCAATGTTTATCAGGAACTTTAGTTTACTTGGATACCGTATGAAATTTAATCCCTTCTGAACGCAGTCATTCTCACCAACTAGTTATATGGAAGAGTATGAATGTCATACGAAATACTCTCAAATGCATAAACGTATTCACTTAAAATGTTCTGCCATCCGGAAATCATCAAGATTTCTTCTTAAATATGTGAAGTAGGATCGATAAGGCATCTAGTCAACAAGGAAGTTTCTTGTATCGAATAATTCAACACTACTTAGGACTTATGTTTCGTATTTAGTAAACATATTCCTAACCAACATAATTTCAACAGTTTCTCTTTGAGTATACAACTAGAGAGATAAACATATAGAGTATAAGTGTTTAAATAAAAAAAGTTGTCTAAAATAAATTATCTTAACACATTACGCTTTCACGGGTTTCGTAATGTTTTTTTTCTGTAATCGTCAGTCAATTTTTAATAATAAAAATAATCATATATCTGTAATACGCTACGACAAAAACCCATCGTATATGTTAAGTAGCTTTGAAATGTCGCTCAAATAATTATTAGGGTAAACCTAATCCCTTGATCTTTTACAGATTTAATACTCTCATATTAGGGTATTTTATTGGAAATGTAAATATGACAAAAATTACTAAGATAACGACTCTAGTACTCTGCAGAGATCATTCAAACGTAAAGTTAAACTCAGTTCTTATTTATTAAAAAGATTAGGAAAAATCGATCAAAATGAAGAAATTTAAATTAGAGAGATATGTACTGAATCTCTATGATTCTTTAGTCTACATTAAGGTAACTACATCAACCATATGCCAGAAATCCTCACCACAAATGTTTTACAAACGTTTGCTTTGCGCTGTACTTCAGATAGGAATTTATGCCTTTCAAATAATATTAACCCACCGACCTTGATGTAACATTTCCGTTTTCTTTCATATTCACATGATGTTACTGCACCGATTATAATTCATAATCTTATTTTTCCAACACTTTTTAAAATGACCTTTGAACTTTACTAGTAAGAGTCTATCCAAGTATTTAAGCCATTAGAAACAATTCTTAACACTGATTGGAAAATTTAAAACCTTGTGTATATATTTTACACTGAGAAATGTAATTCAGTACCACTGAGTATAAAATGAAATCTTTAAAACGATTCTCTAATCGAACAGTTATTTTGAATATATAATGAGGTTGGCGATCCTGTAAGTTCTTGAACTTAAATAAGACAAATATCAATTCATTTTATTTCCTTTCTTCACTAAATAAATATCGGCTCAGGTGGTGCAGCTGGAACCAAACATATTTAACATAGATGATCTTATTTTCATGATTTTAGATGTCAACCACAACTTCAATGCTCATTGAAAATACACTTACTTGGTGACAATACAATTGGATTATAGTTAAGAATAAATAGTGACATGTAGTGGCAAAATAAAGCAGTTGAAATATAGAGGAAAGTTCACTGTATTTAATGTTGAAACGATACAGATTTACAATCAGATGACGAATATTAAATTTACCGTGTGATGTTTATATATTGTATCCCATTGACGAAAGTTTGAATTTAGGAAAAAAATGACTTAATTCATTGACTTCGTATTCTTAAATAAACACCATGATGAAGAAAATACTAAACATATTATGAAGTAAATTATTGATACAGCAGATGTCGATGATGAAGCTGTTTTAGTCAAATGTGTCATCATACTTGTGACTCTGTGACCCATTCAATACATATAGATTATGAACAACATCTTTTCATTCAGACGAAGTTTTAAATGATACGGTTAAACGAACACTGGTATACTAACTAATCATGCAGCCATTTTCATTTCCTATACTTTAATAAGACAGCTCTCAGACGTATTCGCAAGCTACTTTCATGCTATCGGTAATATACATGATAATCGATTAACTTAATGATACCATATAAACAGTTTCACTGAAGACACATGATAAATCGGTTGTCTACGTCACATTTAACGATGTGATAACGATTTTTGCCGGCAAAAATGAAAACAAAAAACATATTATTTCATAAGAATCATTTGCCCAGAGGGTAAGTAACGTATTTATTTTCAGACAACACAGAATAACAATATTGAATAATACATATAAATATAGATATGAAAACATATTATCTCAAGTGTATAAACATATTATGTTTGATATATTTAGATTACATTTGTTGATTGATTTTCATCCCCTATTCTTGGGATAAATAAACATACAAAAGATTATTTTCAGTTATTCATATTACCGGTAAGAAAGTTTTTAATAGAAAAACCTGAATAAATAACATGTAACTCAATGACTAGGTAAGAGTATATCAAAATATAACAATACGCGTAAATATTCCTTTATTGTTATTAACTAGAAAGGTTAGAATTATAAACTTGATAATGAAATGTCAGCTTTAGCTCATTTTAATCTCGTTTGTTCTAATGTTTATTGAATGAACTGATTGTCATTTTTTCAACAAAATTCTGAAATTGAAAGTAAAATTATTGCTTGCTTGAGTAGATCATACTTATCCTAAAAGACTTCCGATGTATAAAATATATTCGATAGATTTAGTAGTAATTAGCTTCAAGATGTAGCAGTTTACAATAGAAGTGAGGCGCTATGACTGCTGGAGTTCAACCAGTGTCGGGTATGAGACATTTATCTACTGTATTTGATGGATACGGGTTGCAGAATATCACGAACTAGTTGAACTTAGACATTAACACTGCTGGATATCAGCTCATTGGTCTAGAGGTTCATCGTTCCCCTATATAACCGAAAGTTTCGGATCCAACGCCGGAGTGCGGAGTCATAGATGTCCATTGATTGGAGCACGACACTGGAAAGAAACGGCTAGAGAAAGCTTCTAGATTCTCAACGATCGTTTAGCTAAATTCCGTTCATGATTTAAACTGTGAAAATCTTATAATCTCCACAAATCCCGTATACTACTAATTTTAAGAATTAAATTAATTATAAGTATATGCTATCGCATTAATATAACTAAACATCTAATTTAAACTATGTACTCAAAAGATATATACGACTCGCGCTCTTCTTAATCTGGTCGCTATGTAGTGTTCTCCATTCCACATCTCCATAGAAAACTTTTATTTAGTTCCATAATCTCATATGTATTCTATTCATGCTATTTTCTTGACATTTGTCAATCTTCAGGCCAAATTACTCTCTGTCAATGGTTTCCCAGCTAAAATTCCTCTGCTTTATTCCATTTTTTAAAGAATAAATTTAGTACAGCTATTAAAATGTGTTTGTTTTGTTATATTCGATTTGGTTTAAAGTTATGAATAGATAAAAAAAAACAGTGAATAACAGTATAAACCTAAAAACGTAATAAATACCAAGCCTAACAAAAGGTCATGAATCACTCTAGTGTAATAAAACGCTAAATCCTAAAGATTTATCTAATACACCTTATAATAATCTAACGGCTTACAGCAATCATCTAGAAAGAAAAAAAACATTCAGTAACTGATTGAACACTTGAGTGTAATAGATTCAGTCTCTAAAAGTATATACAAACCGATCATATTTACTGATATTTTGACTCTGAAACTTGTTGGTCTAACAAAAATACTAAAAAACTGGTTCTTTTATCAATGTATTCATAAACACTTTAAAATCAGTGAGTCAAGAACTCTTAAATAGTTATGCGAAAAACACACTTTAAATCTATACATAAACTGGGAAAGTTGAAAGTGTTTGGAGAAAGTTTGTTATAGTTTGATAAATCATCTTTTACTCACAGGTGAGCTAAAGGATATAGTGGATTGTATCGATATAATAAAGTGAGGAATTGAGAAACAGAAATCTAAATTTCCATTTACTCCTTCAAAGATTTTGAATGTGGAAATGAATTTGGACATGTACTTTTTATTTTAAAAAGACTTTAACAAACAGCTTCACGGTGTTGTTATAGCATTTCTACTAGATTAAATCTTATCAGATTTCTTCTTTAAAAAATTAAAGGATGCTTCTTTAAAAGTGTGATGAGTATTATATCGCGCTTTTGCCGACATCTGACCAAAATTTTGATAGTTATCACTTTCACAATCAATGATAAATAAAGCGATTGTATTGTATTTCTCTATATTTTGCAATGAAAAATCATCAAACTATATCATTAAAGAAAGTTAAAACCAATTTCAAAGTCCATTGAAGTCATTTTTGGTTTCTTATTTCAGTGCTGTACAAACAAAATATACTGTATAGTTGATTTCATTTGTAGAGTTTCTTCTACTGTGGTAGTAACTTTAATAAGGAACAATAAACTATGCGTAGTATGATTCGAAAAAAATAGATTTATGTCAATACTGGTATTTTCAATGTAACAACTGTTCTTGAAAATACGGTTTCTTTATGAATTTGCCAATGAATTTGAAACACAGCATCTATGGATCTAAATAGATCAAAAGTGCATAATGTAGTATTATATATTTCTAAAATTCAGCATTTAGTCTTTTGAAGAATTTTATCAGTGAATATTGATTACTTAACGACAGAAAGTGTAAAAAACGAAATGTCAACAACGTTGAATTTTGTAGCAATGTGGGAACTATCTGTGTCAAATAAATTGTCACAGAGATGTAACCACTGTCAGGCTTTTCTATTCCACTGCACTGATCAAAGTCTTTAGATCAAGTCAAGGCTTAAACAGTAGTCAAAGTTACTCTCACAATTGATTGATCACTGGGTAGTGATCAATATCATGCGTGTCTAGTCCTTATTAGTACACATCGAATGCAATCGATCATGTTGCAATGTGGCCACCAGTCTAGGTGACCCGACACTGCGGGCACTATATATTGAGATTTAGATGGTGGTTAGATGTAGTCGACAGGAAACCCTGGACCTGGGTTTCGTGCTACTTGGCACTCGTCAGCAAGGTGTCACCTAGACTGGTGTCCACATTGCAACATGAGCGATAGCATTCGATGTGCACCAATAAGGACTAGACACGCATGACATTGATCACCACCCAGTGATCAATCATTTGTGATTACATCTCAGTCCTACAGGAGGTTAGTCACGGCTCGGATAGCTCAGTGGTAACGTCTCTGACTGTGAAGCTGGGTGACACGAGATCGAATCCGCCAGGGAGCACCAGTTCCCTCAAGATTTCAGGTACACCTTGCTGACGAGTGCCAAGTAGCACGAAACCCTGGTCCAGGGTTTCCTGTCGACTACCTCCAACCACTATCCAAAGTTACTCTACACCACATTTACTATATTCTAAATAGTTGGGGACAATCAATAGAAAGGCTGCGTTCCAATTGACGATGATTGCTAAGATACATTCGTCATTACCTTGGATTTAATCGATATTATCCAATGCTTACGATCAGACATTCAGTGACATTATATATTGCTCAGTGGTATTTCAGAGAAAACACCTCAGTCAGACAACGGATATGCGCGAAAACAATTAAACAATCTGCTTCCCATTTAATCCCCCAACCACCAGTCTGTTATCAGCTACGAAGATTGCTTCTTTGTTAATAAAAAAGCTTCAAAATACTATGCAAATAAGGTGATACTTTTATTCTTCTTTTTTAATTAATGTTATGTAGATTTGGTGAAGTTCGACGTTTAGACAAGAAACAACAATGCTGTTGGTCATGCGAAACATGCGGTGTAGACCAACGTGTAGTTAATTTAACTCACTGTGAAACTTGTCCTTTTCAACACTGGCCTTCAAAGGATAAAAGAACATGCGAACTTTTAGAGGTAAATGCAAAATTAATTATTTATCATTTGCTACATATAACTCTGTCCAACGTTCAAACGTTAATCTTTTCAAAATGGCAATAAATAAATGTGCAATATATGGTTTTATTTGAAGTCGGTCATGTTAATTATTTTTTGGTATCAAGTGAAGTGTTGAGGATCATTTAGTTAAACTGAAATGAGTTTCATTTAGAAGTTAGAAATATGGTAGATCCAAATATAATTACAGTCAAAAACATTTAAAATAAAGGTGCTTAGGTTTGAAGTTGAAATGGCGAGGGTTTCAAACTGTTACATTCCACTAAGTAATAGTATAATAGTGAGACATTGATCCTTCAGTAACCGTTTAACAGTTTTTTATGGTAGCCGAATAAAAAATTTAGGATAACAGAGGTAACAAATTTTGAAGAGTTGACAAGTTCATGGAATCATGAATGGTGATAGAGAAAAAATACTATTTAACTGAAAAGATAAATGGTAATAAAAGGGTTTCATATGTCGACTAGAAATTAGAGCCTGTTGTAAAATTAACCATAGTTAGTTTCGTTTAAGAAGATAATTTCCTACTATTGAAAGTCTAAGCACCACGCTATTTTCGTTGAGAAATATCTCTGCCGTGATCAGGTTATAGTTTATTAAGTAATACAGAAAGTAAGTTTTCATGCTACCAAATTACAACACATATACAGTTGTTACTTAAGAAACAGAATAGATAGAGAGTAAATTGTATGCAACTATCATGTATACTGTAGTATATTATCTAATAAACCAAATAATATATGAAATATCCAGCTGATCGGCGACACGGTCTATACATTAGACTGTCATATCAAAATGTTCAAACCAAAACGCCAACCCTAAAATATAATCCACATATAGACAACGTTTTGAACACCCTGATGATATTTTCAAGTAAGCGAAGAAAGACACCTCTTATATGATCCTAAAAAGCATAACGAATAAATTTTATAGTGGAAAAGGTTTATAGTTTGGATTGATTAGTTTGATTAGGTTTCGCTCACTGGGCAGGATGATCTAATCTTGAAGCTCCTAATGTCCTTCTAAATAAAATCATTAGTATGAACTTCAAGGAGGAGTGAGAGATTAAAATATCCCCATATGACTGACAGCTTGTAATGTCGACCTTGTTCTTGATTGCCTAATGTCATCTTGTCATTGCCTACATTAAAGAATACGTCGAAATCAACACAATTTATTAACCACTTAGAAAAATCGTCAACAAATACAGGATCAGGAACCAGACCAAAGAGGAAGATATTCTAAATAAATATCCATATAATAGAAGACAAAGGTCAACGATAACACCTCAGTGGAAAATGTAGTTTTTTAAAGTATGGAGGACATTGCGTTAGTCATTCCAAACGTCCCTTTTTTACACGTGCTTCTTCTATTGAGATATAATTTACATTAATTTCCTCTCATGACTGCAAAACAGAGCTACTACAGAAAATGGATGTTAATTACTCTTTCTGGTGAACTGTCAAACTTTTACCTACTCAAAAGATATTTATTTAACCGCAAATTAGAATAGAGCGGATTTTATGAAATTACCTTTATTAAAGGAAATATTCTTGAACTAGTGTTTCGGTTTATCTGACTAACCTACACTATAGGCAAATGCTTACTTAGACTGATCGTCTTTGGTAAGAAACCATCTATTCAACTGCTTACCATATAACTTGATGTTTTTTTACTAAACGTTGCTATCACTAACACCATCTGATAGTAGGTTCAAAAAACAGAATTTCACTATGTTATGAGCTTTGAAGTATATGCGCAGTCGAAAACATCTGTTTTATAATATCCTCGGAGAACGTTGAACCTATGATGTAAAACACAATTATATGAACTTTCGTTCCTGTGAACTTTGCATTATACTCATTGAGTACCTTCAACGCAATCGGTTGACCACAAGATTTTAGTCGCTGAAAAATTCCCATTATATTAATCGTGTTTTAATATAATGGGAATTTTTCAGCGACTATGATGTAAACTTATTACAGTGAAATGAAAACATTTTGGAAAGATACACGTCATCTGGTGTATTTATAACTACACGTATATCAGCACAATTTCTAGCTTGTGACTTGGGAACAGCAAAGATCATCAATGCTATCTAAAGTGAAAGTAGAGTTCATCTAAACACTCAATCGAAAACTTAAGATATGGATTAGAATTCTGAATAGTAATCTTTCTGATTCCTAAAATATAGATTTATCGAAATTTTGTGCTTAAATGGTTTAACCTGCTAGAAATTTTTATTTTTGCATACAGTTACACTATATTGATATTTCGACTTGGTTTGCGATCGTCCCAATAACTTTCAGTAGTCTTGGAATACTAATCACTGGTGGAGTTATACTTACATGGGTTTTCTACTCTGATACACCCTTGATTCGCGCTACAGGACGTGAACTGGCTTATGTACAACTAGCTGGATGTTTAGTTTGCTATTCATGTGCATTTATTCTGATTGCAAGACCGTCAATTTTCACATGTTCACTGCAGCGAATCCTAATTGGTCTTGGTTTTGCAATGATGTATGCTTCATTATTAACAAAAACCAATCGTATAGCAAGAATATTTGATGCAGCAAAACGTACTACTAAACGTCCTGTATATATTTCACCAAGATCACAACTTGCTATTTCGGGATCATTAATTGCACTACAATTATCACTATCAGCTATATGGTTTGGCTTTGATTCACCCGATACACGAATTGATGAAATTAGACCTGGTTATCTTGTTTTACGATGTGCAATGAAAGATAAAAGTTTTTTAATCTCCCTGGCTTACAATATGATTTTAATTATTGTTTGTACAGCATATGCTGTAAAAACACGACAGATTCCAGAAAATTTTAATGAATCAAAATTTATTGGTTTCACTATGTATACAACATGTATTATATGGTTGGCATTTTTACCAATGTATTACGCTACAATTAGCAATCACCAAGTAAGTATTCCATTGAATATAAACGTTACAATTCATATGTTAACATTAGATACATCAGAAGGGATCAGTAAGAGTTTGAATATCAATTTGTATATTAAAATAATATGTTAACAAGAATACGCTTAGTAAGTAAACGTGAACCTTGCGTAATTTTTAAAACTTGTGATGATCACTAAAATGATTTATTCGTTAGAGGGGAAATTATGATCTCAGTCTAATGTTTCACTTCATAAAATAGTCACAAAAGTAAGTTTCTTCAAATGTCCTTTTGTGTTGAAATGAAAACTCTCAATACCTAATCACATATTAAGTTTTGAAAATCTGTTTTCCTCAATCATTGCAAGCTTCCACAGCGGTTACAATCAGTTAAAAAAATCGTTACAAATCAAGTGAATTAAATTGTCCAACCAATATGCATATTCATTTATACAGATAAAACTATGTTTACCTAATAATTTAAAACACTGAGACACATCAATGAAGAATACTTCTTTTCACTGAAATCTCTTTATTTTCTACACTTATATATTAAAATTAATAATCCGAAAATGGTCAGGGTTAACGTCATTTAAAATTATGGCATGTGAATGAAGAATTGTTTGTAAAATAGAATAAAATTTTTAATATCGGAATGGCTAACATATAATGGTAACTACCATAAGTTTTATAAGTTAAATGAAATCATGCAGTTCATAACTAGAATATATATATGCAACATACAGTTTTCCATGGTGGTCTAACTTCAATTGACTCATGATCTCAACTACTATAATGTCCACAAAAACCCCTTCTGATACAAATAATTATGTGTTTGCAAACCAGATTCAATATTTGTTAGAAGAATTGATGTACAGTAATGTTGATTCAGCAAGAAATAATAAAATGAGGTGAATGCTAAACATTAATAATGATCCTAAAAGAATAATTATCATATTGACATGTTAATGATACAAAAAAATGTGAATATGATCAAGTTATAGTCATCGAAAAATACATAACCTTAGGGGCATCAATCGAATCAGGTCACTTTATATGTAATTAACATTATTTTTGATTTATCGCCCCAGAGATTGACCAAGGTAGGAGAAGAGGTGGCACATAAATCTTTTGCACACATAACTCCAGTTTCTTAATTTGAATAGCCGTTATTTCCAGCGACTGAAGGACTTTGAATCTGATCGACTTTGGTATATCCTTCGTTCATGCATCACTGTTTTAGTATGGCGAGGATTTTTAAACACTTATAGATTTTCAGTCAAAGAGAAATACAAAAAGCTAAGAAAAAATAATCGGACAATCTGAAATTTGTTTACGAAGCACGATGAACAACTTTTTTAAAAGTGAGATGACTTATAATACAAATAATGTTTCGTGTTATAGACCTACAAGTGTCACAATTCCCAGAGTAAATGGCTCATGGTATGTATTACTGGCCAAAAAAATTTATAAATCATCCATGCTAAACGTCACAACAAGTCATAAAGCACAATTAATATAATCGACGAACTTGATTAACATCTTTATTTTCGTACGGTAAATCAGGATTCATGATGTGAACGCTTCAATCACTGGGATAGCATAACAACAAGGTTTAGAACTTCATTTTTGTATTGCAGTATTTTTCTCATCAGCGGAATCCTCCAAATGATTAGTTACATACTAATTGCCGTGATTCACACAACCATATTGTCTTTTGCTCGATTTGTCCGAAGGTAAATCGCTAATGGGATAGACTTTGAACATGTAAACATGTCACATCATATCCGTGTCAATTCTCTATAGTTACCTGTGTTTTTTCACTAATTTATATCAATGAAAATTAGCAAATAGTTTATATAAATCAAGCATATACATGTAACTATTCTTATAATCATTACTGTTATCATGAATACACCAACACATTTACTTGAATGTGAGGAAAAACCTTAATTTTTCTTTCATTTTTATTTTTCCACTGAAAGTAATCTTTGCTGACTTTTTTCTACCTAAAAATATCTCACTAATATTTCCCGCGTAGCTTATACACCTTTTATATTGTCTGGAATGAATTTAATCTCCAGAATTTTAACATTTATCTTACATGAAGTTAACTTCAAACAAAGCAGTCCCTTCTAACACAACATGAAAATGAATCAGTGTGCTATTTGAACAGCAAAACAATAAATTTCATATGTAGAATAAACTTAAGAAAAAAATAAACGGGATTATGTATGCGGTACTGGAAAATCATAAATATCTTAGTTTACTAAATATTTAACAGTTTTATCAAAAGTGGTCAGTTGACTTTATGGTTAAAATACAGGTGGATGATTTTGATAGATCTTTGTGCTCTGAAGTGGATGGTTTGGTCGTGGACCTTTCATCACTATTCTGAATGACATCATCAGCACAAACTTCTGATAGAAGACTTCCAGTTCAGAGAATAGAGCTTCATCAAAAAAGTTAACGTCTTTCAAGAGTTTGATTACATGTTATATAAAAGAAGACTAAGATTTGCATAACTATGCATTCTTTCACTTATGAATACTGATCGGTCACGGTTACAGTCAATATTTTTACTTTACGCATAAAATTACCGTTTCACTAAAAAATCAGCAGCTTCGATATAATTCATACTTTTAGATGCAGTAATGGACTAATGATTGAAACATTTGGATCTTAACCCTTGCTAACTAATTAAAAAAATTGCTACATTAAATTCAATTGAACAAACGAGTACAGCAAACTGTATTTAACTTTACACAACCGAATCCCTGTTGACTAATTATCAGAAAATAGGCCAAGCATAAACAAATCACTATCTGAGCAATATAACTGTTGCCTGCACCCAACAGCCATAATATAAAATGAACAATATTAGAGATTAATTTCTATCCATCCCCATGTTGATCTATGACTAATAAAGGTCAGTTAGTAACTAATATGTTATGACTGCCAATACTACTGGTAGTAATTAAAACACTATTGTAAATATTATCTAAATAATTGCCAGATTTTCTGACTGCAATCTATAAATTTCATATCCCTAATTACTCTATATGCATAAAATTGTTTTTGTGTATTCCATTATACTTATTATGACATTTATAACGTACACGTATTCCAAAACAGCTGAAATGACCTTTGAGAGCAGTTGCATAAAATTAAAAGCACAATGAATTGACATGAAATAAAAAATGACATTTGAATCAACAGCAGGACATTTGTACAATACTAACTAGAGTGTACCATACAACTGTAACTTAGGTCAGTATATTTTTTCAACGAGAACTTGGTATTAACAGCACGGCATGCCCCGAATGACCGTTCATATATATATATCCCTCTTATAATTTGCAATAAACTGAGACAGGCTAAATTGAACAAATCATTATTTATTCTAACTAATATATATCAAAACAGTACGTCAAATCGTAAAATAGAAATATAAATAGAATGACCATTAACAAAGGAAACTAATAACATCATCTTTCATAAGGCAGTTATAACATAAGAAAATAATCAAGTTTTCCATTTATGAAACTGTTAAACAATTGTATGAAGCATATATTTTGTTCATCTGAATGATAGTCTACCGTTTTTCAAAAATGAAAAATGACTTCGCTTCATGTTATTAGTTGGATCTCAACGAAGGAATAGATCTCGAACAGTTGAATTACAGTTTTTATTAGTCATTTTTGTTATTTCTTATCGGCCTACTCAAACTTTTTAACTTCTACCGATAATTTTATATTAAACAGATCAATAGCCATTTGAAAATGGGTGATAAGAGAATTTTGTTTGGTATATGAATAATATTTAACCAAGAATATTTGATTACTAGACCAGTTGCTTTCAATAAACATTTAATAAAAAACACCGTTAATTTATATGATTGCTCAAATAACATTCATATTTATTATTACCTTTCTACCCATTGCACGCCTTATTTAAAACTATCAAGTCCAACCATGGCATTGATAAACAAATTCATATTTAGTTTTAAGAGTATTCTTAATTTGCGTAAAACAATTGACGCAACAAGCATGGAGGATATATTAATGTGGTCATCTTTGCTTTATCCAAAACGGATTTCAGTTAGGACTGATGTTTACGCAGAATTCGAAGTGATACTCTTACTATCAAAGTTGGATTGATATTTATTACATTTTAGAGTTTGACAGGGTATATTTTCTCAGAAAAATATTGTCCTTAACTAGAATTTTTCTGTTAAAAATACTAAGAGCCAAGAGCAATACTGTATAAGAATTCAAGGATAACAGGAAAGGTTATAATGCAAATAATGATAAATGTTATTGAAACAATTTGCATGGCAATTCTATTAGAGCACCCAGATCCTCAGCTACAGATGTTCACAACTACTGAAATATTCTTCCTATAGTAAATCACTAGACTATCAAGAGCCATATGACAAAACAAGGAGTACAACTATCATATTGCCAACAACAACATGGGGTCATGATAGGTATAACAATTTTAGGTTTTCACACTAAATATTTTGCAATTCCTGTTTTACGTTGGTTTGGGTGAATGAAATACATTTCCCACCGACGATGATGACCATTATTTTGCATATTTTTTAATCATCAACCTCTATGAGAAATAATCAATGTTCGAGTGATCACATGAAGAAGACAAACTCTGGTGATAATGATTGATTTTATCCCCTCACTAATAACACAACGACCATTTAACCAAATATACTGGTTAAAACATCAGTTTTACTAACGCATGTCATAAATAACCCAGATACAGGAAACAAAAAAATGGGTATAACAGAATAACTACAAAACGCATACTGCATTTTATACTTGGCGAAGTTCACACTGAATCGATTCATTGAATATTCTAGTCAAATATATCAAAGTGAAATAAATTTCACACTGAATTGAAAATAGAAGTAATGCTGTATAAGAATCTCATTGTGTTAGGGTATGATCTCGTATTTTGTTCCATTTTAATAGTCAATAATCTAATTTACATATTAAACAATATTGTACTTAAATCAACAGTTTTTTGTCTGATAATATATTGAAATAATTTTAAAAGTTGTTTGTTGTTCTATACAAGAAAGATGTTTTGTGAAATTTAAGTTTACATAAAAACTCACTGAAACATTGTTGGTTTCTTCAGGATTTTAAACTTCAGTAATCAATAGTAAAAAGAATATGTTCCCTTGGTTATATAATCACTAACTGTTCAAATATATTTATTTACTGTTCCATATTAAAGTTTATTGTTAATCGTTATTACTTATTCATAAATCAATACTGAATACAAAAGATAAGATTATTACTATTTTAAAACTCATCAATTATCTGACTGTTACAATTAGATAGATATTAATAATAAATATGTTACTAGTATTACATCCGAATATTTGTGATAAATTTATTTTAATGAATTAATGTACTGTTCCTTATCTTTAATAGAAAATATGAATTGATTTGATTCTAACGCTATTACTGATGGAGATACAAATACTACTACTGATAATAATACTAGTACTATAGTAATAATATTTCCAATTTCTAGGGAAATGATTTATTTTTAATTACAAAAAAATATTATTGACGATATTAAATCATACCATAACTTATCACTAGATGATCATTACAAGTGTCAATTGAATTCTCGTTACATATAATTAATTAAGAATAAATGTATTCAATCGATAAAATGTTTTTTTTCCCTTTTTCACTATTCATACAAACCATAAAGAGACTTTTGTAAATTATAAGTGATCAGGATATATAGCCACTTCATGAACATAATGTTGTGTCTGGTAATGGTTATTCCTAGACTGATAAATAAATAAATAAGATTATATCTATGACTTAAATTTGTTATGAATCCAAGTTGTTTTTTTTTTATTTTGCTGAAAATATTAAACAGATAAATAGGTTACTCGAAGGACTTTATGTATAATAAGAACCATGTTACAGACACTTTATCACTAAATTCACTTGATATTATCTACTTGAATCTTTCCATTGATGTTTAGGACTGCAATTTATCAGTCTCTTATTGGCATATGTGAATACTGTACGTATTGTCTCGATATTTCCTTCATTCGCAAACATTCTAAGCAATGATGGATAGTGGCTAACACTGGAATCCAGGACGCGCGTTAAGTGGATAGCGTGATGGCGTTTGAAGCGAATGGTACCGGGTTCGAGTCCCAGAGTGAACATCAACTCTGAGATGCAGGTACATCTAGCTGACGAGTCATAAAAAGGACGAAATGCGCGTTCTGGATTCCACTGCTAGCCACTATCGATCTTTGTTTATAATTCTATATTAACAGTTTAGATATACGATTAAAAAAACGTTTTTGCTCATCTAAAGCGAACGCAGATTAATGCATTCAAAAGTGTCAAAGAAACTACTCAAACGTTTTATGAAATTCTTAATGATCGAAACGCTTATCTTTGATTTTAAATAAATTAATAAATACCTATAATGTCTTACACTGAATATGTATATTTTATGAACCAGAGACACAAAACTGTTAGTTCTACAATACTTTACTTGGAAGTTATTATAATTTCCTGGTGGTAAAATGTAATTTAACATGACATATATCTTACTCTAATGAATAGGTTGTTAAAATCTATCATTCTAATTTGATACAATCATTTTCAAAAGTTTATTTTTTTTTTAAATAGAAGAAAAGAAAAGAAATTCATTAGTGAATCACTAATAAAATGAAAGTATTCATTTTCCTCTTGATTATTTTAGTCGTTCTCAATTAAATTATACTAATCATAATGAATTAATTTTACACAACGATAAGTTTATTGGCAACAAGTTAATAAACGTAAAGAAATTTGCATAAAAATGATAAATAGTTAATTTATTAAATTTTTAAGTAATGAACCTCTTAAAACACTTAACCAAGTAGCATTTAAATAATTATTTTGTACAAATTTATATTCATCTAATTTATTATTCCATAGAGTATATGTAATGGTATAGTTTCATCTACTATGTTCTTACTTATATATACTTTAATTTTATGGTAACTAATTACAATTCATCTTGATTTTTTATTGTTATTACCAGTTGGATTTGAACAGTTCATTTCATAGGTTCATTAGCATTCGATTCAAAATATTCAGGAAACATTATCTTGTATAATTATAATGGGGACAACAACTGATTTGAGTCCCAGAGTGAACATCAACTCTGAGATACAGGTACATCCAGCTGATGAGTCCCAAACAGGACGAAACGCGCATTCTGGATTCCATTGCTAGTCACTGTCCATCATTGCTTACAAAAAGCTTGTGAATTAAGGTAATATCGAGGCATACGCAGAGTATGCACATATGCCAATAACAGACTGATCAATTGCAGTCTTAAACCTCAATGGGAAGATACAAGCCAAACAATACCAAGTGAATACTACCTTATGTTTAATATTAATGCTGGGATTTTTCATTTGGCATGAAATAACAATATATATTTTATTAGTTTCAATCACTAATAGTTCATTAGTTGAGTAAAATTGACTATAAACTTCAACACTTATGACCCAATTAATATATTGATTATTAAAACTCTGATATTTAATGCTTAACTGATCTGAATCGATGATCCTTTATCACCATAGTTACCCTATCATCTCTGTTTATATAATTTCAGAGCATATAAACTTATGTCAATCTATATTATGTCTTTGATTGTATTTCTGTTATCAAATAATCAATAAAAAAATGTTGAAATTAGTCCTTATTCGATTAATAAGATGTTCATTTACTTATCAACACTATTTTTTATACTCTCTAAGTAAAATTCAACTATAACCATGCCATTCCATAGTAATCTCTTTAAATACAGTGTTGTTTAGAGTTACTCATTTTAACAATTTCCTTTTATAACTATAAATGAATCGGGAGGAACTTACCCATTCCAAACGCTCTATAGTAATCAATACAAAGTGATTAATTTAGTTAATTACTTCATCAATAGATAACTAACTGCTATGTTATTCATTTTTGTGAAAAAGACAACTAAAGTTTTAATTGACTGAAAATTCATTTATTTTGAAGCAAAATAAAAACTTATGATAACTGTCCACTGCTTGCTTAAAATACAATCAGACAACTACATCTGAACATTAAGTGGGAATAAAACTGATGATCAGATAAAACTAATTGTCCACTACAAATTATCAAATGTTACATTACAGTAGTATACATTGAAATAATACCAATCAATTTATCTATATTGTCCCAAACTGAGTTTTATCAAAAATTAACCTTGAAATCTTGAAACTCTGTTTTGTTTTACAGTAGACGTTATTTTGTTTTTTTTTCAAAGGAAATCTATTTCCACATTCTGTACAGATTGTTGAATCATTCATCCAATGAGAGAATTCATATCAAACTTATTTAGTCTGTATCTTATCACTAATATATGTAATCAAATTTTAAAATACTTCTTATATAATGAATAAATCATAACCTACACATTGATTATAGAAGTCAATCAGGTTTTAATAAATTATACATCAATTTTGAGTGAAAATTTCATAATCATAAAAACAATTATTTCAACTATTTTACAGAGAGAATAACAAATGCATTACAATGTAATTCATTAGATTGTTATTTACTTCTTATTTTATCTAAACACATAAACATTGGTACATGGAGGCACCAAATACATATGCCCCACATAAATCATTCGATTTGTGTGGGGGCTGGGTTGCTGCCTGGGTTCTCAGACAGAAGCAGGTGTTCTTCTTAGGAGACCACACCCTGAGCCTTGGACCTAAAGGTCTAGCCCACAAGGCAGTGGAGCATCGTGAGGAGATGCAGTCCCATGGTAGCCGGTGACCAACGATTGGTTCATACGCCATTTGTTCCCGCAGGATACTGGAGTCCATGTGCACCATTTGTTTGGGATCCGGTTAAAGCGCCGGACATTCGCTCTTCGTTCTCTCGATTTCGTTAACAACACCCCCACCACGGGAAGGCAGTGAGTAGGACTTCCCTGGCCGTGTGAGGGCATTTCGAGAGGGAGGGCGGGTTCACCACACTCTCCGCCGTACCAGGACATTTGGGGGCAATTCATTTGATTACACACAAATAAATGATAATAGATCAATTCATTAAAGTATCATAAATAACATTTTTTAAAAAGACTAACGTTACAAAACGATTTTGTTATCACGTTTTCATCATACTACTGATATGTTTGTTATAAAAATTATCAGAAAATTAGTTTGCATACTAACATTATAGAAGTTGACATTTAAAATTTATTGTTTATGATATATATAACAGTTTATTTTTGTCAACTCCTTTTACTCTTATTTTTCCTGTTGTTTAATATAGATTCAAATAGCAACTCTATGTATATCTATCAATTTGAGTGCAAGTGTTATGCTGTGTTGTTTATTCTTCCCTAAATTATATATTATATACTTACGTCCAGAAAAAAATGTACGACGTTTAACAATGAATAATATGACAGCTAAACAAAAATTTGCTAATTTAGTCAAAGAAAAATCATCAATAAATATGTGTGTATCAAGTTATGCATCAGATAATACAAGTTTAACTGTAAGTAGTAGCACAAAAACTGGTCTACAAACAGATTCAGACAAAGGAATACTAACTAGTCCAGGTAATCCAACACAATCTACGGTGACGAGTTCCAATTGTTTGAAACTAGGTAAGGTTGTAATATTATTTGCTTTAACAATTTATATATATATATATCCGTAAGTTGTGTATTGTTAAATTGCTGTTTAGTAATTATGATTGGAACAAAAAATATGTTGTTTTATTAACTGATAACGTTATATAAACAGAAAAACCTTTATTGCTTATGTATGAATTGTACTACCTCATGCTTTTGAGTATACTTTTAATGGGTTTTTCTGAATAGGGTAATGAACACCACATAATTAAAGGACCCAGCGGAGAGATAAGAATATCATTTAAATTCTCCTCTTTAGCTAATATTCTATCGAGCCATCTTGAGTCTGTTAATTTTCGTGCCTGAGATAATGAGTGTTTAGTAGTCACACAACAATAAGTTCCTATATTATCGATCGTATTTAACTTCACATTGTAAAAGATTAATTTTGATTTAACTGGTCAAACAAAAATGTTGTTCACTATAGTGACGAATATCAAATGTTTTGTTCTTGATTTGAATAATACATGTCTTGTCTGTCCTTACAAATACATCCTACTAATCATTTTAATAAGGAAGCATTTTATCATTAAAAATTCAATGCACAAAGTCTAATTCATTTATTTTTCTGGCTCTTAATAAAGCAAAATTTGTAATTAATTTGTCTATCCACATTGATGACCAAACAAGACGATACTTATTACACTTGAGTAAATGTATTTTAATGTAAAATGTTGATTTAAGGTAAAAATGTAATATTCAGTGACTTGGTTTTATTACAGGTATAATTTACAAACAAAATAGTAAAATTTATAGCTACTTAATATAAAACAGTATTGAAAAGCTTCCCAAACTAATTGAATACCACAAATGAATGAATATTCTGTCAAATAAATACTGGAGTATAATTGTTTTTTTCTTACAACAATAGAGACTAACTAAGCAAGGCTTCATAATTTAACAAAATGATATCGCAATGCTTCATCGTTGAAAATGCTTTAACTTTAAAAAAAACACATCTGAGTCCTCAGTACTAAGATTTTTAGATTTTTATATCAGCCCAATGGTTATTCAAAATTTTCAAAGTTTTTAACTCTTTGGTCAATCGGTTTTCATTAATTTCAATCAATCACAAGTACTTCATCAACGTTACCACCCTCAAATTTTTATCTAAAATAATTTGTTATCACTGACTTGTGATTTGCAGTTTTCACTAAATAGACTTACACCACTCAACTTTAAAATTTATAATTTCTGCAACAGTTGAAATTACTCATGTCCAATAATTTATTTTATTGACTGTCATTGCCCGTCGACTCATATTTCAGTTAAGTAAATATTGTTCTGTAGCAGTCAAGTATATCCTTAGTTTTCACTACTCATTATTACCAAGAGTCATTTGCTTTGAAATAAAATCGTTTAACAATAATATTTCGGTCCAAAATACCACACTTAAAATTAAACCAAGAAATTAAAGGGATCTGTATACGACTTATTTTACTTAGGGTAACCTTTTCAAACAAGTGTCATTATACTATCAAATCAAAGTCTTAGTGAAATTATGGTCAAAATAAATAAATTCCATTTTTACTTCATTTGTGTCTGGAATATACAATAATACACTCAGTACAATAATAAGGTATAAATATTTCCATTCAGAAAGAAGTGAAAATAAAAAACAAGACAATCAGCTACGTAAGGTGTAAGAAAATGAATAATTTTTGGCAACGGTTATATATATATATACGTTCCCTTGATTAATAGTTAAATAAAAGTAGGGCACATTAACGTCATATTGAGTCATAACAGTGAGCATTTCAACTAATTTATTAATGATCACTTCATTTTTTCAAATAAAATTAATAATCTATTAAAAACGCTTGAAAGTTATATCATTCACAAAAATTGGATTGGCAAACAATAAAAGAAACTAACTACAAACTACCTAAATATAAAGAATACGGAGATAAAGTAGAATATGAAGTAAATCTAAAATGACATTATACTATGTTATTCTTCTATTTCTTACATTGAAAAAGCACAACTCAACCAAATCTTACACATCAAAATACCTTAGACAGTGGATTTACACATTTATATCACATTTATAGTGTTACATGGTAACAATATTGTTGTATCCATATTCTTAACTCTAATATTTAAATATCGGTAGTTTACCGAACTACAAGATATTAATCCTTTATCCATTTTAATATTAAAAAACAAACAAAGAAAATACTTGCGAATAATGCTTGGTCTAATTACAAAAAAAACATTTATTCACATTTATCATCCATATTGAACAAAACACAATTACTAATTTATATTTTAATTATTTCACAGTCAATTTTAAAGAATTTTTAAAGATTTTGTTTTCACAAGTTTACTCATTTCTGGACACCAAAAGTAAACACCAACGAAAAGGAAGATTTTAAAATAATCCAAAAAAACAACAAAAAAAAACACAATCACTTATCAATATAAACAACATTAAACAAAACACTAGAAAGTCTCTCTCTTTTCTTTCTTTTTATTTTCTTCAATTTTTTGATAAATACATGATAACAAATTCAGGTGACAGTTAATTAGTTAAAGTAACTAAGAATTACCGGTCAATCGAAAAAAGAAAAGAACTAAATGAATTTGTTTTTCTAATAAAAACAAAACAATTTTCTATCATTTTTGTTTGTTCAATCATTAATTATTGACTTTTATGTATACTTTTTTTCTTTTTTCTTGATTGTAACTATCATGTTGATTTCGCACTTGTATTAAATGAAAATTGATTGGGTTTAATTGAGTCTGTTGTGAGATAGTAACTCATTAAAGACAATGATAGATGTGTTACTCACTTTCGTGGATTAGTTGAAGTTAGATATTAACACTATTGGATGCAAGTTCAGTGGTCTAGAGGTTAAGAGTTCACGTGAGAAACTGATAGATCCTGGGTTCGAATCTCGCCTCGCCGGATAAAAGGTGAGCACTGCTGAAGGGTCTCACAATAGGATGAAATGGCTCCCAGGCTTTTCATGGTGGTCTAGCTTCGATTAACTCATGATCTCAATTATTGAAAAATTGATTTATTCATATGAAACACTAACATTAGTGCTATTGTATTTCAAAATTAGAAAGTTTTAGATAAATATTTCAGTTATTTGTTGTCACTGTTTACTACTTGAACATTCAAAATAGACTAAAAAAATAAAATACTTGGAACAGCAGCAGAAATTAATCGAATTACAAGTATTGAATTAACGAAGAAGAATGTATTTGTGTAGAATGTACATTAAATAATTTGAATAATTGATTATATTTCATTGTAAAAGCTTGGAACAGATTGTTGAGTGAAACGTTGGATTTACATCGAATTGATTCGCTGAGATTTTACAAATACATTCTTGCTTCTTAATGTCTTACATCAACTTGGTACCCATATACTATGAAACTATTCATTCAAATTTGGACGAACATTCATGTATTCACAAGTAATACTCTAATTAGAATTTATTAAAGTCATTCAATTATCAGCATTATTATCAGTATAGAAGATTATTAAGTTTTTGATTGAGATCATGAACTGATTGATGTTAGACCACCATTGAAAACCTTAAAACACTGAATGACCGTTTTGTTGTGGTACTCCTCAGAAGTGCGCATCCACAACCCCGCTCGCAGGATTCTAACCCAGGGCCTTCAGTCTCGTGCACGAACACTTAACTTCAGCATTATTATTTGTTGCCTCATTACTCTACTAAAAATCCACACTTTTATCACGAAGATGATTGTGTGGATATTTTCCTGTCAGTATTTATCCACCAGATATGTCATACGGTACAAAAGTCATTTCAGAATGAGTGTACCATCACTAAGCTTTAAATAAGCCAAAATTTACGTCAATTCACTAAGTATGCATAATTTCTTTACAGATTTTGAATTTGGTAGTTCAACGTCATAGTAAGTTACTTTCGCCAGTTCATCATTATATGCATGCTATGAGAATGAAGTGCATGCCACTGTTTCCTTCTTTTACAAAAATGCTTTTACTTTGTCAATAATTAACATAAAAACAAATGAAAGTTGTTTGATTTTCAACAGAGAAATAGGTAGTATTTTAATTTGCCTTCTGGCAGAGTAGTCAGCTATTTTATCTCATGATAATCTCATTATGAAATCCGAAAGCTTGTATTTCCCTTTTTTCCTATAGACTGTCAACATCCAAAAAATGGAAAGTGTTACATCTAACAAAATAGTCATACATACTATTTCAATATTTACTTATAAAGTGTATCATAAACTGTCTTTCAAAGTAAGATGAGCAATAGTTCGTTGTAAGTACATTCCGTTAACGATTTTTGAAATTCACTGAAAATTGCTACTAAAATTATGATCAACCAGTGACTGGGAACAAATAGCAGAGGTCTTCTTGAAATATAAACCAACATTTTTTTCAAACTGATCAATAACAGTAAACTTAGACTAAAGTGTACAAATAGTGAGGATAGTCAAAATAACGCTGTGATTTTATATAATCAACAAAATTAGCCATTAGTATGCTGCTTTTAGGAACTTTATTAGCATGAAAAAAACCTTTATTTTAATACGTTTGTTTAATGCGTTTGTTTTATAGATAACCAATTTTTCAATGAACCATCTCGTAGTAATTCATCAATTACTCAATCAGTTCAAGTCATATGTAATCCTATAGTCAGTGATTACATTGCCTCAGTGACTACAACAACAACAACACCGTCAATAATGAAAACATCAATAACATTAGCGGATGACAAACAATCCTCAACTTATGTTAATACTTTATTTATCAATTATCTTAATCAAAAACAAAATGATTATTTACCTAATAAATCTTGTAATAATTTCCCTACACCTACACCATTATTATTAGACAATATACCAAATCGTTTATCACTTATTAATTCAGTTTATTGTGATGAAGATAATGTGACTACTGAAGATGAAGATAACTATACAATAAGTGCAAAAACATCATTTTCTACAATTAATTCTAATAAAAATAAAATGTCTACTATAAAAATGAATAATTTTATTACTGATCATTATAATTCTACTACTATTCATTCTAATGCAATGAAAATCAATAAAACGGAACAATATTCTCAAGGTCAAAATTCAGAATTCAATGAATTATCAAATGAATATAATCATAATCAATTCAATAAACTATCAATATTAAATAATAATAATATATCTAAATATATTCCATCACAATTTACTAATCGTAATCTAACATCATTTTCACCAACTATATCACTTGGTTCAATTGAATCACCTAATTTAAGTGTACCAAGTTCTGATTTATATAATCATAGTTATTGTGATGATACAATAATACAAAATAGTGAAAATAATGATAGTTCACATCGTGATAATGAATCATTATTTGTACGTATTAATAAACAAAAGAAAACAAATTCACGTAATATTGATTATACAAAACAAACAGTTACTGCATTATAATAATTTATATGGCTTTTTTTTATTATATTCAATATTATATTATTATTTTGTATGAATTAGTTGTTTCTGTAATACTTTTCTTTTCTTTTTATTATCTTTCTTGTAAGTAAATTTATCCGTCAATGTATATGTAGTTTATTCTTTTCCGTTTTTCTTTCTTTTCTTTTTTCTTTCTTTTTTCTTTCAAGATATTTACTTTCTAATTGAGATTGAATGACGTAGTGTGTTTTTTTAAAAAGAAAAAAACTTTATTGATTATATAAATAGATGTACAAATCAATAAAAAGTGTATAATTGATTTATTATTTAACATGAAATTGAGAACTATCAATTTGTTTATTATTATTAAATCTGAATGATATGATGGTTAAATTGTATTGTGTAATTCGATTAGAAAGACAACAACAACAACAGGAAAGAAAGAAAGAAACGATGTAATATACTGACAAAGTCACTTTATTGATGTAAATGTTAAGAAAACAATCATGTAAATATGTTACAACAACAAATAACTATATTATTGATTGTTTATATTGTTCATAGTTTATTATGATAATGATTGCAATATTAAGTTTTATTAAGGTAAACATATTTCTGATATTTCTCTTTGATAAATAAATTGAGTAACTATAGAATGTATTTAAAATTAACTCTTCATTGTCTAACGCTTTCCCTGTTAGAATCGGTGTAATACAAGGTAGTGTCTTAGGTCTTTTGCTCTTTTTAGTGTGTATCAATGATATTTGTGAAAGCTTTTGTGTGGGTAAGCCCCTTCTATATGCAGATGATCTTAAAGTAGTATATTCATTTTCTCCACATGAGCTGAAAAATATGCAAAATCGCATCAGCATAGAGTTTAACAAGGTAGCACAGTGGTGCTTAAAATGGCAACTGGAGCTTAATGCGGCTAAATATGGATGGATATACTTCGGCGATACATAACTCAACTTAGATCTTACCATAAATGGTGATGTGTTGTCTAGGTTACATACAGTAGTAGACTTAGGTACTCCCACGACTTGTCGTTTACAGAACAGATATTGAAACAGATCTCTGAGTCTCAACGTCTTGTAGGTTATATAACTCAAAACCTTTACAACAATGAGTCACGTATTCTAATGTACAAAGTTTGTGTTCGACCTCTTCTAGAATATTGCACGTTTATTCTTAGCAGTGCGCGCATAAAGGATAAGTTAAGGCTGGAGTCAGTACAGTACACTTCGTATTCTTGGAGTTGATTGTACCTTAACTTATAATTTTATATGTAATAAACTTGAGCTAGACCCTTTATGGAAGAGGAGACTCAAACTAAATCCTATCTTTTTCCTCAAACTACTTAATAAACTGTCCTATATATCCAATCAAGTGATTCAATATGCAGAAACTTCTCATTATGACATCTGTAATTCCTTGTCACTTGTGAAACAAACTTATTCTAAGTCATCTCGCTATATGAATTACTTTACCTGTAAATTTTCTAGACTCTGGAATAACCTACCACAATCTATTCGTAAAATAAAATCACTCCCATTATTTGTTCGCTGCATACTGGTCCTCTGAAAATACATTGAATGTTCTAGCACCTGTAAGTTGATCTCATTCCACAAGTGATATTATAAGAACTTTAAATGTTTAGCCATTTTTATTAGTGCATTCCCTAAGTAAAACCACCTACTTGCTGTCACTTTATGGTAACCCCCTCCCTAGCAAGTTTAACTAATTTGAATAATATCTAACATCAACAGTATATCACTGTGTCACATGACACACGCATTTAGGTAGACCTTATTGACATATTTTGGTAATTACTGCTTTGTTGTTCCGTGTTCTGTTTTTGTTTTAATTTCTCTAGTTGTAGATAATTATCATTAATTCGATCTGGCACACGAAATGACCTTATTTACACCGTTCATAAATCAACAGGTTGTCCGTTTGAGAAAAAAATAAAAGTTCCCGGTTGATGCATTGGATCGCTGTAATATATGTACTACTTAAAAAACTACTGAACTAGTATACTTAAAACTTTCTATCACATGTTTGTTCTGCACGTCTAATGTTACTATTTATATCAAACTGATCATGCCTGTAAGCTGGCGTGAATTCTGTAATTATTATTTTCAGAATATAAATTATTATTTATTATATGACATGTTGTATTCATTTAATGTATCATTAAAGGGAATAAGAGATATTCATGTAATTAATTAACACAATTAATTATTTCCTTTTGTTTTGATAAGTAGACATGGAATAACAAACATTCTGATAGATATGCAGAATATGCTTTTCTAAATGAATAAATATATATCTAATTGATATGCAATTCGTTTAAAGATCCCTATCATATTAAAAGATTCTTTTCGATAAAATCTCTTGAGGTTCTACAATTAAATATCCAAATTAATAATATGAAAAATGACCAAGTTAAGAGCAAAGTATAGCGTTTAAACTATGTGAATTTAGGATTATCAAACAGAATGAAAATATTATGAATAGGGAACTTCTACTTTTTTTATTGAGATCATGAACCCATTGATGTTAGACCGTCATTGAAAATCTGGAAGCACTGGACGGCCGTTCGTCTTGTTGTGGGACTCCTCATTAGTGCTCATCCACGATCATGCTCACGGGATTTGAACCCAGAACCTACCGGTCTCGTGCGTGAACACCTAAACTTCAGACCACTAAGCCGGCATCCAAAGGTTTGGATGTCTAACCTCAACCAATCCACGAAGTTGCGCACCCGTCTCCCGTTGTATTGAGATCTTTACCCGACACGGATTTGTTTAGTGGCCTAGAGACTAAGCGTTCGCTTGCGAGAACGAAGGCCCTGGCTCCGAATATTGCGGGCAGGATCGTGAATGGACACTACTGAGAAGTCCCGCAAGAGGATGAAAGAGCCGTACAGTATTTCCAGGCTTTCAATGGTGATCTAACATCAATCAGTTCATGATCTCAACCAAAAACTTAATAATCTTCACAACTCAATACTGATACTTATAGTAGTCTTAATATTTGATATCATATTAACAAGTCAAATGCTTTGATTAGCACTAAGTTATTTTTGTTATTAATTTGAATTAATATATTATTAAGACAGTATTAAAATAACTTATGTACGAGAAATATAATGAATTTTGACGTACTATTTCGATAGTCGATAATTCAATTAGCTAGTAGTGAATATGTTTATGGGCATTTATTTGTGTTTGTGATCAACAAAAAAAAACAATTACGAATTTATAAAACAATTAAGACATCAATTTTTAGCCAGTCATCAGGACTGATTATTATGTTAGATGTCAAGATTACTGTACAGCTCGCTCTTTTCAATATTTGTACTGATCATTTCATTTATAGGCTAAACCAACTTGTTTAAATAATATTATCCAGCCCAGAAAATAAATGCAAACCATTAATCAATATTAATGTGAGATAACAAATAAAATGTATGGATTCTGTGAATGTTTTATCGAACAACTGCATTTACATGATTTGTGTGACCGGATGACTTCTCGTCAACAAAAAGAATCGAACCTCAATTTATGTTCTCGAAATCGATCAAATTGGTCATTTAATTCAAATAAATCATTGATAGTCTGCGTATTAATGCATTGATACAAAGTGAAAACAATTTTTTTTAATTAGGCAAGACTTTTATGCAGGTAGAAAACTCTTCAATACATGTAACATTGAGATATCAATTTAAAATAATTAATACCCATAACTAAAATTGTATGAATCAATGTGAACTGTCTTTATTTCTTTATTCGATGAAGTAAACTTACATCCAATCGATATTTGTATTAGATATTTCTTGTTGTAACTACTTCTTCCCTAAATTTTCACTCTTCACTTAACAACACACATCTAAGTAACTGTTTCTCAGTCTAATTTATTTCGATCTCATTGACTGTTATTCTATGGATATCAACGCTAAATAATAGTAGTAATTACAAATAACAGTTATTTATTACTATACTACGTTTGTCATTGTCGTCACTGCTACAACAGATTCTTCTTCCGTAAATTTCATACGGATACTTACGTAGTTTGGACTAAGTAACACGATGTTTTGCATTAATTACTCGTTCTGTGTGAAGGTGTACAGGAATACGTGGTAAAGATATTACAAAATCCGTTTATAGCGTCATTATTTTTCGCTTAATTATTTATGTACACAACATTAAAATTGAAGGTATCTTCTCAGGTATATATTGTATCAGAAGGCTAAGGAATGCGCCCACTTCAGATTGCTGAAACAATGGACATTGATTCAAAGAAACTTGACCTATGTATAAAATAAAGATACACACAACCAATTTGATAACCTTGGTCAACTTTATGGTCATTTCATTCTTAGCTCCAAGTTAGTCTCTTCCCCATTCATCGCGATTCGCACTCTCATCTAAGACTTTTTACTCTATTCCTAATTATACGTTCATCTTGCTTATTTTACATGATATTCTAAGTAATATTTATTCTTTATATCATTACTATAATGATTATAATCATTGTTGCTGTCATCATAACTAAGATACAACAATTCCTATTTTGCATTAATCTTTATACATACAATTTTAGCCCATTTATTTGAACTTACCACCTTAAGGTATATAATTTTTCCTAAACTTTTATGTATGGCATTTTCTTAACATTACCGATATTTAAAACTCCATCGACGTGAAATTTGTTCACTCAAAAATTCACTTTTCTTCAATATAATAAATAACTTAATCATGAATTTCGCCTTTCGTTTATAATAACTAGTTATTATAAAACTTCATTTCCGGATATATATACAAACAAAACATAAGAAAAAGTTGAGTGAATAAGTTAGTATTTTATTATTCTAGTTGGATAGATTAGTTCTTTTAGGTTGAATAAAATGTAACCTTGGTATTACATGATCGAATCTGTTGTGAGATATCAGCTCACTAAAGACAATGGTGTACAGTGACACAATTTTGTGAATTGTTTGAAGTTAGACATTAACACCG